ATTTACCCCCCTAGATGGGGTTATAGGCCTTTCCCTGCGGGTTTCGAGGGGTGTATCCCCAACTGGGGTGGTAATTTGGTGGGGGTCTCGAAGGGGATGGGGATGGGGATAGGGGATCCGTTAAACGATACCGAGACTAGGCGGCGCCGACTGCTTGAGCGTGCGCGACGATTGGAGCGAGCAGCACCACAACGACAAGTGGTCAAGGCCGCGGCTGCACGTGCCTGCCATCGATCTCTCCGCGGGGGTCCACTTTGACGGTGGGGTGCCCGACGCCACGACGCCGACAGAAGCGCTCTGAGCGCTGCGGCGACGGATCGAGGATCGAGGAGGATTGAGGATCGAGGAAGCGAGCTGAGCGCTTCCTCGATCCTCCTCGATCCTCCTCCTCCTCGAGCCCTCAGGACCGACGGAGAGGACGGATCCTCCTCGAGCCATGACGCCGACGGAAGCGCCATAACGCAAGCAAGCGGCTGCGTGCCGAGGTAACGCGGAGCGGGGTCCGCGACCGAGCCCTCCTCCTCCTCCTCCTCCTCCTCCTCCTCCTCCTCCTCCTCCGTGAGGAGAAGAGATTCCTTGGATCTGCGCTGGAGCCCCCTCCCTGGCGCGCGGAGCGCGCCAAGGGCGACGCCGGAGGCGCCGCCGGGGGGCCCAGCGCGGATCTGAGAAATCCGCGCGGAACGCCAAGAGTTTATGTTTGTGTATGTGCTGTTTTCTTCTTCGAGAGCAAGCGCCTTCGTCCCGACAGGACGCGGAGCGGGGTCCGAGACAAAAGCCCTCCCCTCTCTCCGTCCCTCTCTCTGTCGGGCGTCGGCAGAACTAGGTTTAGTGGGACCTGGTTTATTGATGTGTACTGGAGGTCATTATTCCCGGGACATTATAAACCCGAGTCTATATTCCCGGAACATTAAGAACCAAGGTTCATATGTTTTGGGGGTCGATATCCCCAGAACATTATAATCCAACCAGGGTTTACAATGTTTTGATGGGAAATTATGAACCCCAGTCAATGTTCCCAGAACATTGAAACCCAGGTTCATAATGTTCCCGGCGAGACATTATGAACCCTGCTCAATAATCCCAAAACATTATTAACCCAGATTATTTTTGAGGTCCATCCTGCTGCCGTCACCCGAAGAACACCAGCTACGGCAGATATTCTGGGCGTTCCGTACAACCCAGAACATCAGTCAACTGTAGAGCGTTTTATGCGTAGTCTATTCGACTCGGTCCGATCGATGCTCATCGGGGTTGACCCAGTCTTGTGGAGCTATGCAGCGGTGTGCACCGCGGGTGTCTGGAACCGTTTTCCGCACACCTATGAGTTAGAGTTAGAGTTAGAGTTAGAGTTAGAGTTTGGGTTAGAGTTAGAGTTAGAGTTAGAGTTAGAGTTAGAGTTAGAGTTAGAGTTAGAGTTAGAGTTAGTTGGGGGGCTCCGGGGCCCTACCACTAACCGGATTCCCTTACCTGGGGTCCTGGCTATACCCGACTCTCTCTCTCTCTCTCTCGCTTCTGTGCCAGGAGGGTTCGATGGAACGAACATGCGTGGTTGCGACTTCCCAGGGGGTCCCCGATCCCCGAGAGACACGCGGGGGTCACCAAGCTCACGGCAGCCGTGCCGTCTTGAGCAGCGACGCCTCTCCTCCTCCACCCCCTCCTCCCTGTACACCTCATGCTCGCCGTGACTCTAGGGAGGCCTCCGAAGGACCATGGAGGCTATACAAGGCCAACCAGTCGAGCCTCGCACCTCGCACCTCCAAGGGCTCCCAACTTCGCGCTTCGCGCTGCGCGAAGCGCGAAGTGCGAATAGCTTCGCGCTCTCGCGCCGCCTCCCAGGGGAGAAGAGGAGGACGAGGAGGAGTCGGAGCCGAACCGCGAAGCGCGCAGCGCGAATAGCTTCGCGCCCTCGAGGGCGCCCTCGCACCTCGCACCTCGCGACCGAGGACGCCGGCGGCGGCGGCGGTGAGGGCGGAGGCGGCGGCGGCGGGGGCGGCAGCGGCGGCGTCCCCGAGCGGGCGCGCGGTCCTGGGAGCGCCCACCTCGAAGCGCATCTTCGCCAGGCCGAAGTCCGTGACCTTGGCGAGGGGCACGTCCTGGGGCACGCGGCGGCGGCGGCGGCGGCGTCATTGCCTTGGGTGGCAGTGCGGGCGCGGCCGCAAGAAGCCCTCGCAAGAGACCCGGCCCTGAGAGCCCGTGCGCGAGGTGCACCTGAGGGGAAACCTGGAGCACCCTGGACGCAGCAGCTTCTTCAACCGCCGCGGGAGGTCACCGCGCAGCGCGCGGAGCGAAGAAACCCAGGATACCCTGACGAAAAGCATCTGATTTCTTGATGCGCGCTCCCACTGTAGGTTGGGCATGTCCTCCTACAGGCGGATTGTGGACGAAAAGTGAAGAATAGGCAACAAAAAATAGCCCAACATGTTCAAAGAAGGCTGGACAAATCGTCCCCCGACGATATTTGTTGGACCTTTTTTGAATACATTCCTCCTGTAGAGGGCCCGACTTAAGTCTTGGGGGCCCTCGTCGCGCACGCCTCAAGGCTCTCGCCGCCGCGGCCGCGGCAAGGAGCGCGGCGGGGCAGGCCGGAGCGGAGCCCCAGGAGGGGTCCATGGGGGGGGGGGGGGGGGCGATGCCTGAGCGGACTGCCGAGGGGGCGGCTGCTGCGGCGGCAACGGCGGCGGGAACGGCGGCGGCGGCGGCGGCGGCGGCGGCGGCGACGCCGCCGCCGCCGCCGCCGCCGCGGGGATCTCGAGGGCCTCCAGGGGCCCCCCGGCGGGCGGGCGGGCGGCACGCGCGGGTCCTCGAGGGCCTCCAGGGGCGCGCACAGCAGCACGTTCAGGGACCTGCGGCCCGCGGCCCCACCCGCGGCGGGGGCCGTCGGTCGCCGCCGCCGCCGGCGACTGCCCGTCGCCGACGTCGGCACCGACCCTCGCCGATCGTCGGTCGACGGCCGCCGGCGGTCGGTCGTCGTCGACGCCGACCCTCGCCGATCGTCGGTCGTCGGTCGCCGGTCCTCGCCGACGTCGACGCCGGTCGTCGGTCCTCGCCGACGTCGTCGCCGGTCCTCGCCGACGGCCTGCTCGTCGGTCGTCGGTCGCCGGTCTCTCCGGCACTTCTGGATCAAGCGGAGGCCTCTGGGGACCGCCCAGCAGAGGCAGGACAGGGCAAGAGAGCACGACAGTCTCCGACTGGGGCAGGCCGCAGTCCTGGAGGGGCTTCTCTCAGGGGGGACTGCGCGAGGGAGAAGGACTGGACAGGGGCGGGGTCCACCTCCCTGATACTCTCTTTCTCATTCTCCTCCTCCTCCTCCTCCTCCTCCTCCTCCTCCTCCTGATCCACCTGACTGTCATCATCATCATCATCATCATCATCATCATCATCATCATCATCATCAGCAGCAGCAGCAGCAGCAGCAGCAGCAACAGCATCATCAACATCATCATCATCATCATCATCATCAGCAGCATCAGCATCATCATCATCATCATCATCATCATCATCAGCAGCAGCATCATCATCACCATCATCAGCATCATCATGATCATCATCAGCAGCAGCATCATCATCATCATCACCATCATAATCCTCATCATCATGATCACATCATGGTCATCAGCATCATCCTCGTCCTCCTCCTTCTCCTCCTCATCATCATCACCATCGCCATCACCATCACAATCATCACCATCACCACCATAATCATCATCATCATCATCATCATCATCAGCAGCAGCAGCAGCAGCATCATCATGATCGTCACATCATCATCGACATCATCACAATCATCACTATTACCGTCACCAATATCATCATCATCATCATCATCATCATCAGCAGCATCAGCATCAGCATCAGCATCAGCATCATCATCATCATCATCATCATCATCATCATCATCATCATCGCCATCGCCATAACCATCATCATCATCAGCAGCATCATCATCATGATCAGCATCGTCATCATCAGCAGCAGCATCATCAGCATCACCATTGTCATCATCATCACCAGTATCATCGTTCGCTCATTCCAACATCACAGTCAGTATCATCATCAACAGCATCAGTATGAGCATTATCATCAGCAGCACAATCATCATCTGACTCGTCACGGTCATCATGATGAACCTCATCATCGTACTCATCTTTTTCATCGACATAATCAGTATCATCATAACCAGCATCACCATATCCATCGTCAGCATCAGCATCATCACCATCAACAGCATCATCATCATAAAAAATCCTTATCCGTATCATCATCATCGTCACCATGAACATCATCGTCAGTATCGTCATCATCATCAAAGTCTCACCTACATCCCATTCATCATCATCCTCATCATCACCAGCATCACCTCCATCATCAGCAGCAGCATCACCATCTCACCACCAAGATAATATACATCGAACCCGCATCGGCATGCCCTCATCAGCATCATCAGCATCAGCATCGTCATCAGCAGCATCGTCATCATCAACCTCCTCATTCATAACATGTCCGACGTCATAACCACGACCACGACCATCACCGTCCCCGTCATCACCCCCATTATCATGAACACCGTCACCACCATATCATCGTAACGGTCGCCAGTATCGTTGTCTTGATCCTCAATGGCCACGCGCGCATTGACACGTTGAGGTAATAGAACCCTGAACCTCATCACTCCTTCTTATCCAAGACACCCGTGTCGCTTCAGCAATGAGGATTGGCAGGCCCCACGTGGAACTTGCTGTTGACAAAGCGCGCGTGTTCCGCCGCATCTTCGGCAGTACCACAGCTGCTCAGCACGCGGGCGCGGTATTATCAGTGTCATTTCTAATATACAATACAGGATCTCTTGTAGTTTCGGGCGTAGAGTTTCTTTCATGCGCCTAGCTTAGTCCACGCACCGCCCAGTGTTTGACGCCACAACAACACCACCATCCTCGTGTCCCCCCTCCTCCTTTCTCACCCCGTCTCCTCCTCAGCGTGATCCCCTCAAGATCCGCGGATGTGTTCGGTGCCTCGCTTCTCTGGATGCCGAATTCGCCCACTCTGCTAAACTGCACCGCCCCTTACCAGTGTATGCACAAACGGTCTTATCAGCAGAGCATGTTGCGTCTGGAACGGCCCAGCGTCTGATGGACGCACAGGGGGACTTCTCTGGACACCTGGGCCATGCTCCACGGAGCAGGGACAGAAGCCAGCCAGCCTAAAGGCATTCCTGTGGGTGGAGGCGTCAGAGAGAAAGTTCGGGACGCCGTCTGAGAACCTATGCGATATGCGAATGAATTGGCTACATGCTCACATACATGAACCGAATGTGGCCGATGGCGCCATGAACCACGAAACGGCAGCGGACTCCAGGCATCCGCTGGCCACTTCGGGCCCTCGGCGTGTGATCCCAATGCTCCTCCAAAAATCCCCTCCCCCAGGAACCCCAGCCTCGCTGGTTTGGAAGGGGCGGGGGGTCAGTCAAAGGTGCAAGCGGCCCTGGCAGACTTATCTGTCCCAGAAATGCCCCCTGGCGCGCCCAAAGGGCCCAAGATCGCTCGAAGATGGTCCAAGGGGGCTCCGAGAGGGCCCAAGACGGCCGAAGCACGGCCCGAGAAGCCCCTGGGACACCCCAACATGGCCCCAAGATGGCCCCAGGAGAGCGTCCAGCGACAAAAATCCATCACTTTCCTACGAGTCCTGTGCGATGTTCGAGTTGTCGCGTGGCCAGGCGTCTCAAAGCCCAGCACAATCAAAATGGCTCCTCAGACTGGCCCATCACCACCCCAGTGCCCCAGGAGGCCTGGTCAGAACGCATCGCGGCAGAGGTCAGTGCAGTAGCGGTACAGGAGCCTCTGTGCTGCCCAATACACGCCCCCCTGGCCCAAGCGAGGAAGGTCTTCGCACTGTCATGGGGCCCAGGAGGGCCCTGCCCACGCACGGTGGTGGTGTGCGAGTGTGCAAGGTGCCTTCTGCGGGTCCCCAGGAGTGGCGGTGCGGTGCGCACGGTGTGCGGGCGTGGAAAGCAAAAAGCAACCTCTGTTGGCAGCAACTAAAGTCCTCACCGCGTTCGGAAGTAGACGTGGGATGTAACGGGGACGAATTGGGCACAGGAGGCGCCGGAAAGGGAAGGAGCACGCGGAGGCAGTGAGAAGCACGATCAGAGCATGAAGTCCTTGAAAACGTATGCCGGAGCACGTGCACAGCAAGGATGCGGAAGTCGGCCACCGTTGGCTACAGCAAGCTGCGGTGGGCTCATCCTGGACCTGCGCCGTGCTGGTCCTTTTCCTTCCTCCCTCATCAATCCCCAAAACATCCTGTCTCATTCTGTATCCTTCTCCATTCGGGGGCGCGCAAGCATGGATTAGCGATCCATGGATTTGGCGCGCGGTCGCCAAAACCATGGGTCGTGCGTGTCCGCATGTGCGTGTGCGCGCGAGCGTTTGTAAGTGCGTCCGAAAGCATCTGCGTGTGCGCGTGCGTGCGCGTGTGCGTGTGCGCGTGCGCGCGCGCGTGCGCGTGCGTATGCGCGTGCGTGTGCGCGTGCATGTGCGTGTGTGCGTGAGCGCTCGTGCTCGTGCTCGTGCGCGTGCGCGTGCGCGTGCGCGTGCGCGTGCGCGTGCGCGTGCGCGTGCGCATGCGCGTGCGCGTGCGCGTGCGCGTGCGCGTGCGCGTGCGCGCGCGCGTGCGCGTGCGTATGCGTGTGCGTGTGCGTGTGCGCGTGCGCGTGCCCGTGCGCGTGCGCGTGCGTGTGCGCGTGCGCGTGCGAAACCGTCTGCGTGTGCGCGTGCGCGTCGTGTGCGTGTGCGCGCGCGTGCGTTGGGGTGAGCGTGCGTGAGCGCGTGCGCGTGCGCGTGCGTGTGCGTTTGCGCGTGCATGTGCGTGTGCGTGTGCGTGGGCGTGAGCGTGAGCCTGTGCGTGTGCGTGTGCGTGTGCGTGTGGCCGTGTGTGTTGTGTAATGTTATGTTGCGTGTGTGTTGTGTGTGTTGTATCTTGTGTCTTGTGTATGTGTGTGCTCCGGTGCTCTGGTGCTGAATCAAGCAGGGGAATCTGATCCAGGCCAGCCTCGCGTGCAGGCCCACAGCAGAATCGCCGCCCGAGGGCCTCTGAACTCTGAAACTGGGGACCGCAACCAGGTGCGCAGGAGCCCCGCCCCGCCGTGCCGTGGTAGCCGTTGGCTCCACAGCAGACTCCAGACCGAATTCGGCCACTCAGCTGGCCGACGGTGTCCTCCCGAGGCTAACAACGCAGCTGGCACTGGTTCTGCTTGACATCACGAGCCGAGCGCGCGCAAGCGAGGCGCAACTCAAGTCAACGCCTTAGTGCCCGTGCTTGCGGATCTCGCCCTCGAACTTTTCACGTAAGTCATCCAACGCCTCTGGCCTGTGGCCACCGGCCACGCCGCAAAATCCCCTGCTGCCAGGAGTAGGCGCAAGCACGATCTTCGGCCCGAGCGGCCGCTGCCTCCCGGCATCGGTGCTGCGGACGCCCTAGTCGTTGACGTACAGCCACAAACGCCACCAGACGTCGAAGAGCGTGCGGAAGCACTGCGGGGCCGCCATGGCCTCGCTCGCGAGCCCCGCACGGCGCCGCACGAAGGGCTGATCCGATCGCGAGCGCAGACCAAGCAGCAGCGGGGAGGCCGAAACACTCGTCCGTGGCATCGTCCTCCATGTTGCTGACGCTCGAGCCCTCCTGGCGGTAGCAGTGGTCGGACATGACGCCGTCCTGCGGTGTGAGCCGGAAGTGCTTTCCCGAAGCATCGCCCTCCACCTTGCCAAAGCTCTCCTCCTGGCGGGAGCTGCGGCCGACCGCGACGTCGTCCTGCAGCGTGAGGCCGACCTGCACATCCGAAGCAGCGCCCTCCATGTTGCCGATGCTCTACTCGACATCCTCGCGGTGGGACGGGCCATCGGCGACGTCGCCCTGCAGCGTGAGGCCGAGTGCGGTCATCGAAGCATCACCCTCCATCTCCTGGCGGTGCTTGTCCGAAGCGTCGCCCTCCATCTTGCCGGAGCTCACCTCAGCCTCCATCTTGCCGGAGCTCACCTCATCGATGGCCTGCTGCTGCGCCACCGCGTCCAGCGTCCGCCAGCCCTCGGGCCACGGCGGCGCCGCCCTCCGCAGTCTGGTGGGCGGCGCCGCCGCCTCGCGCCGCGGAGCAGCCTGCGGGGTGGAAGGAACAGGCGCTCCCAGCCTGGAGCCGCTAGCTGCCGCCGAGACGGCGGCGTCACAGGCCCGCGGAAAGCCCGCCCGCCGGCGCCACGGCAGCATGCCAGGCCGCAGTCCTGCGGCGCCTGGTGCTGCCTGGCACGCGGGCGCCTGCCGCTGCCAGCCGCAAGGGGGGCTTGGCGGCGACCGCTCACGGTCCTGCCACGACCCAGGCGGAGCGGCCGCAGCGACCCGGACCTTTGCTTCATGGCATCTGTTTGGGACCGTGCGTCCTGTGGGGGAGATCCCACCTGCCTGAAACAGGCACCAAAAACAGCCAAGATCTACTCCATGGGGGGGGAGAGGGAGAGGGTGCCAGGGCCCGCGCCGATCGGCAGAACAATGAATAAAGAAACGATCACCTGCCGTCGCCTGTTTCGCGCCGCCCTCCGCGCCGCCGTCGGGTCCAGGTCCAGTTCGTCCTGGGCTCGGCGCGTGCTGGGCCGCCACACCGCGGACACCCCCTCGAGCCCAGCCTTGCTGCTGGCGCCCCTCGCCGCCATCGCGGAGGCCGCGACGTAGATGAGGACAGAACCGCACTCCCCTACGAAGGAGCGAGACACAGCGCGGCGCCTGCCTGGCGCCCAAGGCAGGCTTGAGCCAAAATGGCTGCGGGCGTGTGTGTGTGTGTGTGTATGTGTGTGCATGCGTGAGTGCATGTTGCGTGCGCGTGCGGGCGCGTATGTGTTTGTTATGTGTGCTGTGTGTTACGTGTTGTGTTATGTGCTGTAGTCTGTGTTGTGCTGTGTGATGTGTGCTGTGTTGTGTGTTTTGTGTTGTGTGTTGTGTGTTGTGTGTTGCGTGTTGCGTGTTGTGTGCTGTGTGTGTTGTGTGTTGTGAGTGTTGTATTGTGTGTTGTGTGTTGTGTGCTGTGTGTTGTGTGTATTGTGTGTTTTGTATTGTGTGTATGTGTTTTGTGTGTTGCCTGTGTGTTGTATGTTGTGTGTTGTGTGTTGTGTGTTTTGTGTTTCGTGGTATGAGTGTGTGTGTGTGTGTTGCGTTGCACGCTGTGTGCTGTATGCTGTGTTTTGTGCGTTGTGTGTTGCATTTTGTATGTTGTGTGTTGTGTGTGTTGCGTGTTGTGTGTTGTGTGTTGTGTGTTGTGTGTTGTGTGTTGTGTGTAGTGTGTTGTGTGT